AAACAATGAGTGCCAATTCATAACGGAAGTTATCTCAGGACACTTTTCAAATAGAGCAGGTCTAGACCGAACTCCTTTTAACACTATAGTGACACAAATTATTCCATTGACATTGACAAGTTGTTGACAGATGTTGAAGCTGCACACTCAGTCTGAAGCTTCCTGCACCTAGCATGGTGAAAACAACAACAACAGTGATGGCTGGTAAGCTTGTCTTTTCTACCAGCCACTGCCGATAGCGAGCCAACTGGAGGATCTATTAAATTGCAGAATTTCATTTGGCTGTTAAAACAGTCAAAGTGGCTGGTGAATTCTTGGGAATGGAACCAGCTAGCTTAATTCTTGCCCAGGGAACTGCATCAGATGTTAGAGCGCATGTTGGTCAGGCTGCAGCATGCTGCATATCATGGGACAGGGTCTGTTTTGACAAGCGTCAGTGCCAGAGAAGCTGCCTTGGTCAGAAATGGCAGAATGAATAAAAGATAAATGGCTGCTGGCACAACCAGGGGATATGAAGGTCAGCGACGTCAAAGGAACATGCACTGGCACATGCAAGCGCACACACACACACACACACACACACACACACGCTCTTACATACAGTCTCCCTAGCACAAAGTATCCAAATAGTACATGTCTACACAGGGGGCAGTCAGCATTAATTAGATGATAGCCACTATAATCTCTCTCACATTAACTAAGCTGAAATGCTTTCGTCAAAACAGGCCTTTAAGGAAGTGGCAATAATTCAGCACAAATCTATTGTATCAGTCCAATCCATTTAGTTGAATTTAGATCTACTGATAGGACCCTCTGTCTTGTAGAGCTGTAGGATCTGTAGGTGTCTCAGCCACTCAAATTGCTTTTGAGCTGAGGGGGACACATTAGAATGCAATCAATCAGCAAAAACAAATTCAATGATTTTATCCGTGATGCTTTTTGACAGACTACGGCTGTCCCTTCGATGTTGATGACTCGAATCATCAGTCAAGGAGCCCAGATTTATCATTTGCCCACCACCATGTCTGCGGGGGTTAAGACAGGATCAAAAACCGAAATGTCCCCAGTTGCAGTTTTTTCCTTTTTGCCATGGTATCGAAAAAGGTATTGAGTATACTTTTTTATGCATGCATTGTATCAAACTTTATATATATATAGTGGCAACCTTACACTAATCTGAATGGAATAAGCTTACATTTAAACAGCTAGCAGCTTTTTCCCCAGTTCAATCTTAAGATTTTTTGTCATCTAAAGTCAGCTCATATATAAAACATACTAATGACAACACACTCCTTTTTTGAAACATCCAATTACAAGCTAGATAAACACCATTCAAGGGTAACCGTGTTGTAATAGAACCATCAACTGTAAGACTCCCACTGGAACGCTTCACTGTAAGGCTGCTTTTCTCAACATTATTCATGGTTGGAACACATAACATTTTCCAGAGCCAAACGTTTCTGTAGAAAGCAGCTGATAACTGAATTGGACGGCGTGGAGTCAGGCTGTGAAACCACTCACAAGAGCTTTTACACTCAATATCTCACCATTCCTTTTACCATTTTGTGAGATTTTTAAAATCTTTGGAATAGTATCTTTCATAGTGGCTGTTAATCTATCGAACAGGCTTTTAGTCAAAATGTAGTGGTATTTTCATGGTAGGCGGTGGTAATTTTCTCACACTATCTGGTAATAGCACATGGAGGATGCATACTTGTCATAGTTTGCTTTACTGTTTGGCTTTGACTGCTCAATGACCTTGCTTGTGACAAATGTCCTGGTGACATGGGCTCCATATGTGGCAAGCGGTAGGCCAGATTCCTTTGTGAAAAGCCATTGCCTCCTATTAATTGCCTTGAACTGTTCATATAATGTGGAGGTCAAGTGCCCAATACATGTCAGTGAGAGGACTCATATGCACTATACATCGATTGAGGGCAGATGATTTATTTGATTAAAACGCTTTGTCAAAAAGAGCAACAGAGGAGGCTCCTCTCCTGTGAGTAAAGAGCTTTATTAAAATGCATAGATAAATTATATTTTTGGGCTACATTACCCCTTATTATGTGTATAGATACTTTTATATATATACTTATTTTACTACTTAACACAAACACACACACACAC